TTGTCAAAGATTAAAGATAGGGATGATATATGTTTTATACAGAAGTTTTTAGTGTCAGAAACCCACGGTAAAACCGTTCGCCAACTCCATTAATTGAAAAGTATCATTAAAATATAATATACCAGAATGATCTAGAAAGAATTTTAAACAGCTAAACTTGAATAACAAGTCAAATTGACTTTATGCAACTAAATATAATCTATATAATAAAATAGTTATGTACATTTTCATTCATTTTCCTTGTATTAAATATCATGTAAACGAGATTTTGTTAACATATAGCTGTAAATGTTACCATTTTTGAATAAATAAATAATAAGTATCGAATTTAATGTTATTAAAAATAATAATATATTGGATTTGATAAATAGATCAAAACTAGTTGTCGCCCGCGATTCCATCCGTGGGGAATTAAAAAAACTTAATTAGTAGCCTATGTGTTCTGGTAGACTATGTTCATAATGGTGTAAACAAACATCCATCCATCCAAACATTCGTATTTATATTAGCAAGATAGTTTTTTTAGCGTGAAAAATAATTCGGTTTTATTACTAGCTTCATCGCTAAGTAGCACACATATAAGTACATATACAATTGGCATTGAATATAATTAAATCATAAAGAACAATTAGCAAATTTAACCGACAACTTAATTTTGCCTCTAGTTAATACACGCTATTGTTTAAGCAAAACAAACAAAAAATCAGTTCAATTTTAACTTATTTGTTATTAATTGCAACTTAGAACTTAGTGTTTACACGCTAGTTAGCGTTTAGCTCATGAAATCTTTGTAAGATAAGTTCTTTATTATCACGAATATATTTTTTTCTTAAGCTATATGAATAAAAATCGTATAAAATCTATTACGTAGAAATCATGCTCTTTAAGGCGGTGTTACAAAAATATATAGCAGTTTATCAGGTAGTCAAAAAGTTCTACACAAACTTCCAGTCTCGAAATAGTTAACAGTGGTAGAGCCCGCTTTAACATCTTCGCACGAATTGGCCCGGCTCGCCCGGTGAAATACCACGACCACACAAAAGACAGGCGTGAAGTGGAAGCAATTCCGCGTTTCGTCTGATGAGTGTGCGTCCGGGAGGCCTAATTTATTCCTCTTTCCCTTCCCACCTTTTTTCTTATAAGGAAAGGATGGGAAGTGGAAGTGAACTTTCCGGATGAGAGGATGCATGGAAAGGAAATATATTTTATTTCTGTGCATCCTCTCCTCCGTCGATTAAAGGTAGGCAACGCATATGTATTTGCGTATGCAGGCAACGGTCACTTCGCTATATCAGCGATTTCAGGTGGCCGCTCGCTCGTTTGCCACCTTATGATATAAAAAAAAAAGTTAATTGTTATAAAAACTGGTCGGTTCGTTTGCATCAGTATAGACCGACAAGGATATCTAAAGCGCTGGGCAGAAATCAAACTAAATTATGGCACCCTGTCAAGGTGAAAAAGTATCACAAGGTAGCTGTCATGGCTTGTTCTTCTTCATGGCTTTCATACCTTACATAGAACTAAGCGCCTCTCACACTGGCTCTGTTGTCAGACTCTAGCTGTCGTGCTCAGTTGTTTTTACACCATTAAGGCTTTCCCTACTCATGGCAACGTAAATCTTCAAAACTAATATCCTTGCATCGCGTTGCGTGCGCTCAGTAAACACAATGTTGGATAATCGCAGCGATTTTTATCTTAACAGGTTGCGAGCGACTCTATACGAACCTCTATAACATTGTAATGCGTGAGTCCCTTAGCGAATAAAATCGGGTTTGGAAGATTTACGTCGCCTTGTGTACGAGGGGCCTAATGTTATTTGTTCAACTTTTTAGCATAAATAGTTAGTGTAGACTAAGGACTAAAAATTGGACTACTATTAGCGTATAATGTTTCAGGAAAAGCGTTATCGGCGCTGCCATACAAAAAGTTATCTTAATATAACCGGTCGTTATTTTAAAAATGGCCTTTTGTGTCAGCACGAACATGCGACTGGTAAGCATAAACTGAGACTCAATGTATTAAGTTGCCTTCGTGGTCTAAAAATAAAATGCAATACTTTCGTAATAAGGTCAATATGCTGGTCAATGCGCTTAAAGATATTTATAACATAAGAAACAACCCTCAAAGAAAACATATTCAAATAATAGCGAACAGAATGAAAGAATTCTTATCAAAACAAATGAAAAGTTCCTGAATGCCGCATTTTGGTAATCTTACTAATATTAGAAATGCGAATGTTTGGATCGATGCATTTTTGTTAGACGATATCTCTAGATCGGCTACATGAATCATACTGAAATTTAGAAGAACGTACTAATTAAGTTGTGTTTTTTATTTCCGCGTTTTGTTATGTCGTATTAATTATGACACCCATGAAAATATTTCCAAGAAGATTCCTAGAGATACCAAATCCAATATGGTATTAGATGTCGAAATACCTAATTATTATAATTATTTAATTTGTTATACAACGCTATTAAAAACTAGACGAATATAATAAATATTATTATTTGGAAGTCATCTCACACTGGTCGTTAATGTCGTAAAACTTTGTAAGTGTTTGAAATTTCATTTGGCTAAAAGCAAAACCGATAAATTTTCAATTTACTATTCTTCCACTGTTGCAATTTCGTGTTTGCGAAAATGTCATATAGTTAAACGTAGCAAATGCGAATAAAACAAATGAATACTTTAAATTTTAAATCTTTTGATATCGGTTTATAAACTGACTTATTTGGATTTCTCTTTTGGCGATTTTATTGGGTTTTACAATTTAGTTGAACATCATCCCACAATAATTAGAACGCTTCCGTGTTATATGAATAGCGATCAAAATTTATTTATATGACATCATTAAAGAATCGACAAAAAGTACGGACACGGCACAACTTACCAAACAACACTTACTTCTATAAATATCTTAATTGTAGTAGCTTAATAGTGTATTTATAAGTGAAGGCCGTTGTCACAATGCTACTATTATTATTTCATTCAAAAAAAAATATCTCGACCTAATGTACGAGGCGACCCACATGTTGGTATGTTTGTGAAATAAAATAATCGTGATGTTTCATAAACCTCAAAAATATAACGTTAATTGCAAGATTTACTTTTTACAAAGTTTCTTCAGGTAAAACATAATATTATTCAAATCTCCTTACCGTCGGTTTCTGACATAAAAACCTCTGTATTAAAAATATCGTCACCTCTGTCACGTTTAATGAGGCACGCTAGTTAAACTACAGTAGGTGAAATATATATAAATATATTTAATTTTTATTCAACTCACCGAATAATTCAACAGAAACAAAGCGTCGTTGAAATTTCGAAGTCCACTTCACTATTTGGCATTTGACAAATAGGATAGACTCCCTCTGGTATAGAGGAGTGTATGCAAATGACAGGATGATAGGGTACCCTCGAGTATCGTAGTTATCAATTTATTGTATTAAGCATCACCAATGGAGCCCGACAGCGTAGAGACAGCAAAAAAAACTATTTCAAATTCATAGAACACCTAAATATTTTATTGGTTAATATCCAACTGTACTTTTAGAAGCCCTTTACTCTAAAATAGATTTCAATTCATCCAAATGCTGAAGGTGATGTTAAATTTAGATTCTGCAAGATGCATTACGTTCTAATTCATGGCCATTGTCGCACGATATATCAATACTTGTATAACAAAGCATATAATCATAATAGCTTTTAATTCAGAAAGAAATTAATTTAATATAATCACTCTTATGTTTAGTATTGATCTTAATATTGGATTCGAAAATCGCCTTTAATGCTTTTTAAGTCCGAATACGGTCAAATTCCATTGCTACGCTGAACTGGATACATTTTGTCACACTGTGTTTTGTTCTATATGCGTGTCTACTTGTGGCATTAAATGATTTTTTTATTTCTTTTAATGTAACTGTATTTCTTAAGAAATTGTCTCTCGGACTCTACGCCAACGTTATTTTCTTGTTTTGCACTCGTAGTGTGTGATGTACTTATGTATGTTACAGATTTAACTGCCCATTATATTACAATAGGTTTAAGACTTTAAAGCCTATCATTATAAAACTTAAATTAATATAATTTTTACTCGGTAGAGGCCTTTCATTGTGTTCAAGTAGGTTAGGTAACTAAATAGTATTGTTAACAAACATATCTGTCATCAATTGAAGTTATCGTAGGTAAAATGTAACTACGCGTTTTAGATTTGCTATTCCTTCCAGTAACATTATATCAAGGATGTGTTGCTTATTGCTTTCTTTATCCGACTTCAAAAAAAAGATAAGGTTCTCGATTCGTCTGTCTTTTTTTCCAGTTTATCTAATAAACGAGACGAAAGCAATTTAAAAATTTTGCTCAAAGGTCAAACAGAATTGATCTCAACTAGCAAGTGGGCGTATATTTCGGGCATAGATTTCCTTGTTAAAGTAATGATCAATTACATACGACTCTTATTGTGATGGACAATTCTAGTTGTACTCAAACGCAAAGTGTAATCGCTCAGATATTTAAGACCATTCTAGACTTCAAAGAGCCATACGTAAGTAGGTTTCTACGAAGATTTGGTCGTAGGTTAAAAAATCTAATCGTAAATATTTACATGAAACAACACAACTGATTGTTAATTTCGTATTAATACACTTGGGGTAATCTACATTACAATCCAAAACTCATACAAAGACAACTAAAATGTCCTGATAATATCGGTTATAAAAATTAATTACTAGCGTTTGTTCCAACTGTTCTTGCAGACTGTGTTCATTATCTGTGCTAAATTTCATCAAGATCCCTTGAGCCGTCATGAAGATACCTTCTAACAAACATCCATCCATCCAAATATTCGGATTTATGACATCAGTAACATTTTATGTTTGAGTTCATTTGTTAAGATTCTTTCTACAGTCAATTTTGATAAGTTGGAATTTAGGTATAGTATTTTTTAATCTGTTAAATTCATTAAACTTTTTATTTGTTTAGAAATAAAACACAAACCGTAAATTGGAACATTTATAATTCTTTACGCCGTATTAAAATTATATTTATTGTCTATGACTATGCATATTTCCACTTGGCGGAGGGCGAGTCATTGTGGTAGAAGTTGCATTCTAGCTTGTTGGTGCACGCCTTGCCGTATCTGCACGGCTTCGGGTGATAAAAGTGGCAGGCAGGATTCACACAGCTAGGATAATACTTGCAAATACTGATCGCACCACCTGATGATATCGTCTTATAGTTAGCTGCGGGCACCACGTGAGATGCTGAAAATTAATAAAATATTACAATTCTAACTAAATTAAAAAATTTGAATTCCATTGCCGCTTTATAGGAGACGCTGAACGTATGCTCGTATTACCTACGTAGTAACATCATCATCATCAGCACACTATACGTCCCCACCGAGGGACTCGGAGCCTATCGAAAGTTAAGGGTGATTAGGTCATAATCAACCACGCTGGCCAAGTGCGGTTTGGTTGACTTCACACATATCTTTGACATTTCTTCTCAGATATGTGCAGGATGTATCACGATGTTTTCCTTCACGGTAAGCACGTCGGATAAATGTACATATGTAAATCGGAAATCGAAAAGCACATTGGTACATGGCGGGATTCGAACCCAAGACCTGCAGATTGTAAGTCAAGTGCTTGACCCCTAAACCATCGATGCTCTACGCAGTAACGCGTCAATGTATCGTGCACGTATTTTTACACAATCACAGAAATGCAATGTCCATTGCCACTTTATAAAGGACGCTAATCTGATGCTTTCATCACTTACATAGTAACGCGTCAATGTATTATATTTCGCGCATATCGAGTGTGGGTGGCGAGTGACATGTCGTTCATTGCTGCTTTATAGGAGACGTTGAAGTAATGCTTGTATAATTTACATAGTAACACGTCAATGTATATAGTGCAAAGTACCGATAGCGGGCGGCGATGTGGGCGGGGTGTGCGAGTATACGCAGCCGCGGCGCGTGCAGCTCGCAGCGAACTTGCAGCGCGGGTGGGTGAACGCGCACGCAGACCCGTACCGACACAGCGGGAACGCGCGGCACCACATCAGCTTACGTTCCGCTACGCTTACTGGAAAACATAAATATATATTTTTTTAAAGTTACCTATATCTATACTTATTAATAAAATTGGGGTGTCTGTATGTATAATTATTTACAGAAAAAAAATCGTACATGTTATGTATTTAAGTAGCTAAAACTAATTTTAAAATTTTTTGTCTCTGATTGACTGTATGTCTGTACGTAAGGCGTTTGTTCCGGAATTCTCTGAAAAAGATAGACCGATTTTAACGATGTTTTTAAAGGATTTAAAGCTAATACACATGGGCATGTTATAAGGTCCTTTTTTTTAATTGTGCGATGACGGTTTCGAGGGTGAACGCTAGTTGTAAAATAAAGTGTTAGCTTATTTAAAAGTTAAAATCCATTAATCTCTACCTGTTACTATCTTAAATTATATTTATTAAAAAAAATAACTTACAGGGTGGTACAGAATCAAACTTATGAGAATTAGATGATGTGGTGATGGTAACATGACCATCACTGCTTGCGCTCTGCGTCCTCTCTCTCACCCGTTCTGTTTCTTTCTCTTTCTTTTCTATATTAAATATAATAGGCGATGCTTTTCTTTTCTTTACTGGCGGCGTCACAATTTTTTCCGATGTATTATTACTAACGCTTACATCTACACTCTTTCTTTTTTCTCCCGTTTGTTGTGGTTCTTTTTTTATTATCACTTGCGTATCACTTTCTTCACTTGCATCACTAAATCTTTTCTTTTGATTATCACTTTTATCACTTAATGCTTTCTTTTGTTCATCATCCTTCGGTTCTTTCTTTAGAATTTCACTTGATTCGTTTTCGACACTTAGTTTTCTCTTTGCACATTCATTAGCCGTTGGTGATTCTTCTTTCATTCTCTTTTCTTTGTTTTCAGCTTGTTTTTCAACTGTTTCTTGGTTTTCTTTTTCTTTGGTTTCATCTTCACTTTCCTTTGTTATCAAAACACTTTTTGCTGGTTTAGGAAGTATAGTTTTAGTTAGTTCATCATCTACATCGAGTAATCCTTCCATCATGAGTTTCTTTGCAAGGAATGTGTTCGGCTGGAAACCATCCATTGTAACAATGAATTGGGTATCTTTATGTTTTTTTCCACTCTGCTTCTGTTTATTCCTAAAATCAAACACAAATATTATATTTTTATCAATTTTGTGACAAAAGTATGGTAATTGTTTTTTTTAATAACTAAGAGATCGTAGTTAGGACCTTTGGATTAGTAAATAAATAAATTTTATGTTTTTAAACAGTGAATAAATGGTCTAACAACTTCATTGGTCCTTCGAACCGGATACAACTTTTAGTATTTACTTTTAAACATTATTCATTAGAAGTCAGAATGAATAGTGAGGGGACATAAACGTCGACATTTTAGTAAGGCTAGTGTTGCACCAGTACACCGGCACAGTGCCGGATTTACTTCCTAACATTACTTACTTAGTTTCAATGATGAGTGTGTCGTCTTTCTTACTGGCCGTCCTATCCGGTACATAGTCCGTGTTATTAATTATTTTAGTTATATGAACTGGTGTTACAATATCATCATTTTCTCTATTAATTGTGATGTTAATTGATGACCTGTAAACATTAATTAGGTAAAAACTTACAAATTAAATGGGGTGAATATCCTTAGTTTTCTTTCCTTGAGTTTTGGAGTTTATTAGTTTTGAAAATCAATGGGATGTTGCTGGGTAGATAGATGTGGCGATTTATGGATAAAAGAAATATAGCTTAATAATGCAATTCACATAAAGAAGCAAACCAAAACGGCATTATTTATACATACTTATTTCTGTTTTCTCCATTGTTTTCCTTGTCAGTTTTGACTACATCAGATTTGGTATCGGTCTGCACGTCTCTGGGCACTTGGATCACGATGTTCTGAGTTTCAATACAACGCCGCATAGGCAGTACTAATGCGCGCTGTAATTTACGCTTTTCTAGTTCTATTTTCGGTGGTGCCTGTGGGAAATATTCAAAACATGTATTTTACTTGGGTAAATAAGTAAAAAAACAACACTTTTTGTGTCTTTGTTCATGTCAAGCGACAAACACTTTAAAATGACCCTTATTCCATTCGCCCAGCGCTCAAAATGCAACTCTGCATGAAAAGAGCGTCGCGTTTTAAAAGCGTTACCGTATGAACAGATACATGGATATAAATTTGTTCTCTTTGAATGCATTTCTAAGTGAAAAAACCGTACCGTAACCGATTTTGCGTTCAAATATAACTTATAACAAGTATATGTAAGTTGTAACAAGGTGGAAGATGATAACTTACATTTAGCAAGCTCTTGTGTGCATCTGCGACCGCTCTCATGAGCAAGTTGGAGGCGGGGGCGGAGACGCGGGGGCGAGGCCGCACGCGCACCACGCTCGCACAATTACCACGTGTCTGACGCGTCTTGTCCACCACAGTTTCTCTAAATATCAGAACAAAAATATTAATATAGTAGATCCACGGTATTTTAACAGCAATATGTTTGTTATGTTTGTGAAATTGTTGTTCTATTCGATATGTCGACAATGCTGTGATTGCACGATCGAATTTGTCGGATCGTCGGGGAAAGTCCTCATAAGATACCCTGCCTTCCGGCAAAGACTGGGTTTTATGAGACTTAATTCACTAAAAACCCTTCGGTGGCCATCCAAATTACATATTGAATATTAATTCTATAAGTCATTCTCTAAAGTAAATACGAAAATTGACGACTTTAATTCTATTAAAACTTTTTATAAAAGAAATGGAGTAATCTACAAATAATGATGTACATATGTATCAAAATAATCAAAAACTATATATAAAATTATTATCATCAATCAATCAACATATAAAGCATATAAATGGAGGTGTCATATTAGGCAGGAGCCAGATAACAAATTTTTTATAGAATTTTATTTTATTTTTTCAACATCTAATTATTTGAACAAGCATTAATCAAATAATGAAACATACTTTGTATTCTGTATTTTATTCTGTTCAGGTTTTTCTACTGGAGATTCTTCAGATATAGAAGTTGTGCGAGGTCGCTCAGGTGTACTGCCTGAATACTTCTTCACGGGCTGTTCGGGTTTTGCTTCAGGCTGTCTCTCTGGTGTTAATCTGAAACTCAGGTATTTAAAATAAATATTTATTTTATAAACAAATATGAGAGATCTTAATTAACAAAAACCAACATAAGCTACATATTCTTTCTTACTACCTTAAATGAGTTTGTAATTAACAACAACCTTTCAGGACTTGTGGGCAATTTTGCCTTATTTTTGTCCTTTTCTTTGTTTTCCGTTGACTCCTTAGTAGTCCTGCGAACTCCAAGTCTCTCTCTTATAGGTCTTTTGGGAAGGTTAAGTTCAATTTGGGGCAGGATTTGTACTGGTTTAGGTTTATCTTTAGGCAAATCTTTTGATACCTCATTGGGTATATTTATGGGTATGTGTTTTGGGAGGTCTTTGGGAGGGTCTTTTTGAGTTTGTATTATTGGTGCAGGAGTTTGTGGAGTCGGAGACTTTCGAGACGCAAGTGGTGGAGTAGCTACTGGTGCTGTTTGTGAAATTTCCTATAAAAATATTTGGCTCTTTAATGTAAATCAATGTTATGAGATTTATACTAATAAAAACAAATTAGATAGCATAATAAATCAACATGCCGTAGTACACTTGCCTGAAAAACATCTTCGGCAAAGTCATTTAAAAGCTCTTCTGCTTCAGTCCTAATATTAAGGAAATCTTCGTCCTCAGACATTGTATCTAACTGGTCCGCAAGTTTCTTTTTTAAGCCACTAATTTTAACTTCAATATCATTCACTTCTTTTATTTGTTCTTCTCTAGCAGATATCTTCTTGTTCTCGTCTGGTACTGGTTCAGACTGTGATGGTATTGAAGCTGGATCTATTATAGGTACAATTGGTCTCTTATCTTTGGGCACACTTGTATCAATTTGTGTCATATCCTGTTTATGATCTAAAGTGATCCCATGGTTTTTCAAAATTTGTCCGGCAAACACATCTGTTATTGATGGTTCCGATTCTTTTTCCACATTCATGAGCATTGGAGGTATGTTTGGACGAATAAGTTCATGCCGCTTACTTTTTTTCTTTTCTTTATGTACTTTCTTATCTTCCTTCTTTTTGTATGCCTTTTCTTTTTCCTTTTTTTTGGCTTTTTTACCTCCATCATTCTTTTTGATTTTATCCTTTTCCTTCTTATCCTTTGGTTTCCTTTCCTTAGATTTTGATCTCTCTTTGACCTTGTCAGTTTCTACTGGTTCTGAAATTCCAAGTTTTGATATAAGATAAAACTTGAAAAGTTAGAGTTTATCTTAGATAAGTTAAATATCATAATTAGACAATGGTTACTTAGTTAAATATGTTTATATGTTAATAATTGCAAGGTCGGTTGGTCATTTTATAACATAGTTTGTACAAAATTATCTGATTGTGGTTAAATATATTTTACATGAAGTCTGCAAAGTATTTTAAAATTATCACTTTCTTATTAGACAAGGAAATATATGGTCACAAAAACATTTTTTTTCATGTTTATACTTACTCAATGGGGTTGTCACCTGTACTTCTTGCAATTTCTTTAGCACTTGATGCAACCAGTTTACAAAGAGCTCCGTATTATCCCCCAGAAACAGCTGGAGATCCTCGTCCATTTGAGCGCGAGTGCGTTTGTTAGCCACCATCACCATCACATAGTCCGGCAACTCATCATCTAAACAACAAAATTAGTTTTTATTTTTAGAGACAAAGCTGTGCTTTAATAACTTTTATAAGTATGTTGTTTTTGTTCCATTTATTTTGATACCACATTAGTTAGTTTTTTCTTTCAACGAAAAGGAAAACTGATGTAATAGTGTTTCCTACAAGGCAAGAAATGTAACTTTTGGATCTCTTTCTGGATCGTTATATTGATATATGAATAAATTAAATAAAAATACATTATCTTTCGCTTTCCTTGTGAGTGATGATCTTGTTACCAACATTTTATTGCTTATATTACGAACCCACTACTTACCAACATAACATCCCAACTCCGTAAGTTTTGCCTTGATGGCAGACTGAAAAATTTAAAATTAATATAGCATTCAATGGTGAGATTAATAGAAGGTTGGAGTAGAATTTTGTGTGTCTGATATTACTGAATTTATTGTATTTACCCGCATTTTCTGCCCTATTTCACTGCCGACAACTTCCATTTTTCGTTTGTCTAGTATACTACGTCAATACTGTTAATAGATTCACTAGTTTTATGAATATTTTGTTTATGTAAAACTTAGGTTATAATGTTAATTACTAATTTAGTAAAAATAGTAAATCAATTGCAAAACTTTACATCTTATTTTATTAATAGTAACGAAGCATCCATTTCTCTTTTATTTAATTTCATTTGACATAAAACTAAATTGTCAGATATCACAGAGTATGGAATGCGTGCATGTTCCAGATTATGTATAAAATTAAGAAGACTTTTGTAGTTTTGCATTTTAAATTAAAATTATTAAAACAATTCATTTCAGTAAAACTTCGTACGCTATGAAATTCTATTATTCGATTCACAGTTAGTTATAACGGGGTCGTATACCGCTTACGACTGCGTATTTTAGATGTTGGCACTTGCTTTCAATATAAAAGAAAGCTACTGAAAAAGACTTGTAAATTTTACACATTTGGTAGATTTATGGCAGTTAAATTTGTGACAGATCATTAATTTTATTTAGGGCCCCTTAAATTTGTATTTCAAAAATAAAATAAAGCAACTTATTTATCATGTTATATAGTTTAAAAACTAAATTGTTCTAACTTAAAAAATCAAATTATTTTTAAATTATGCTATTATTAAAAATATAAACAATTTTGATACTTAGAATATGTTTTTCGTTGTATCATTATTGCGTTACATATAATATTACGTAGTCAAAAATTGACAAGTTATTGAGTAATTGCTTAAAAAAAATTATTAAAATTTGAGCATTAAATTAATTTTTAAATCCATTAAAGCATTTAAATGGAGCAATTATTTACGTATTTTATTAATTAAGAAAATGTTTAGCAAATAAACATAAAATTGACGTAATTCTAAGCAGGACATTCGAGTTACGGTAAATAATTGATCAATACAATTGAGCCATTCTAAAATTTACACAAAAAGCTAACAAATACAACTTCTATTTGTTATTTTAAAGTGGAGAAGAAAACAATTGGAACGTACTCACCAAAATTGACATTATAAAACTTGATCACATCGTCACATCGCGTCTTACTTACGTATATTATACGAAACACCGAAAACAAAGGGTTACAATTTCCAAAAATATGTTTCTGGTCGTATGACTAGCCAATTAATGAAATAACAATGGAAACACATCGTATCAGAATGTACAAACCAGGACGTGGGACCACTATTCCACTTCTGATCTTAAGGATCAGAAGCAGGGAAAATTAAAAAAACAATCTCTTATACACTACTACAGTACTTTTTGAATTAATAAGAAAACTAACAAAATTGATTGAATTAAATTAACACTTAAATGATTTCGAAATATAACATTAACTTGATCAACTATCAGAGTTAAAATGATTAATTATTTTGGCTAGTCAAACGGGCAGAGCTTCCGCTGGCTTCAGTGTTCGGTGGCGAGTGTGTCCCGAAAATGAGGGTGCGGTCTCTTATATTGACATCACCGCACCATTATTTTTAAGTTCCACCCTCAGCTAACAATATATTTAAAGTAGGAAGTTATTAAGTAGCCATTGTCAACTGAATTACTGTTTAACGTATAGTGTGCAATTTTTAATGTTTATTGATATTGTAAAAGCTTCTAATAACTTTTAATTTGATCTTACTTTATAAGTTACGTTTTTCCTAGACTAAATAACTTTATTATCGTAATTTAAGTAACGACCAATCAGAGCAGAGCCAGCTGGGCTTGAGAAGGGTCGAGGCACCATCTTTATATAAGGCGTTTTGACAGTTGTTACGAATATAGTCGTGAAGTGGAGACGGATCGAGTTGGGTCATCGTGTTTTGTGCTTGCACTTTACCCTAAATGACGCCCACGAAGTCCTCAACCACTATAGATGTCGTTGAGAAAAGTGTTTCTCCGACATTAGAAGTGGGATCGGTGCCGGTCAAAATGAAGATCTACGGACACCACCAGAAGACTGATGGCGCGCATTGTGTGAGGCGCAGCAAACCGGCATGCGGCTGCTCGTGGAGGCGCTATCCGACGACGACGACCGACGACGACGACCGACGACGACGACGACGACGACGAAGACGACGACCGAAGACGACGACCGACGAAGACGACGACCGACGAAGACGACGACCGACGACCGACAACGACGAGCGACGACGACGACTCCTAATTTTTTTTTTTTCAGAGGGGAATACTTTATGTGGGATGCTCCTCCATAGCGGAGGCATACTCACTGAACCCCTCTGTTCTTATAGTTTTTAATATTTTATTGGATTTATTTTAAAATGTGTTTAACTTGTATACAGATTTCACTTTGTAACCTTTTAATTTTACATTTTTTAATTGTTTTAATGTTTTTTAACTTAGATGTAAGAAAAGAATGTGATATAATTTTAAGACTATGTAATTGATGTTTAAACACTTAAAATAAAGAAATAAAGATATTCCCGCACCCCAAGTCCCCACACACATAGCATAAGTTATGGGAACGAGGAACCCCTCTGTTTCTCCAACGCATCGGGACGGTACCACGGGTACGCTTTCGTTGTCGTCCGCGGCCCTGTCTGCGCCAGCTGCCGAGGCAGCACCCTCACGGGGGGAGGCCGCCCTCA